ACCCTGACAAGATGGCTTGCAAGGCTGCCCGCACTTGGACCGACAGCCATGGAGGAAAAAAAGAAAAAAAGCCAGTATAAAAGCAAAGTGCTGAGCGGCTAATGCTGGTTTCAGAGGAAGATATTTGGTAGCTGCAGTATTTTTGATCCTTCTCTGCATGGAAGCTTGTTCCATACATTCACTACATGGGTGTTCATGGACAGTGACCTCCAGCCCACACATACTTACATGGGCAGATCAGTGTGTCAATACACACATGCATGTGTATGTACTATCCCGTAGACCCAGCTTTACATTTCATATTATTGCTTTTCCTCCCAACCTCTAGCAGTGTTCACTGCAAGACCAGACTATTTTTCTACAAGATTTTTCACTCTGTCCTGGTGTTAACAGAGGACTGCATTAGCACACCTCGGATTTCTGTGCTCATCCCACTATTAACAACATTCCAAAGGGATTCCTCTGAGTAACACCTTGCCTGTTCAGCTCTTCCTCCAGAACAGCCCAGGAGGCCCCACACAGCCACCACACAGCTGGGGGGCTAGAAAATAAGTTATTACAACAGCCAAAGGCAGCGCGTTTACGTCAAGAACACTTCAGCACCCTGCGAACGGTGTAGGTTTAAATCCCAAACAGAGACTTCATATCCTTGAGCTCCCTCTGCTGCTCCCATTCTTATTTACATACATAAAAACAAAGCACCCGGAGTCACAGCAATGCCAATAGTATTTCTGCAAGGCTCCTGAGACTCCAATCTGTCAGGGAAATGGACCCAATGGACCCCAAATGCAGCCCAGAGTGAGTGACCCTCGCACACAGAATGGGCAGCACTGACAAATGGCCACAGCCATGCAGCCCCAGCTCCTGCAGAGCTCTCAGGATCAGGCTGCAATGGCTGGGCATCCCACAGGGGCTGCTGGACAAAGAGGTACATTGCTTGCAGAGGCAGATCAGTTCCCTCTGATTCACTATAAACATCAAATAGTTCTTGAATGGTTATTCTCACACACATATATACGTATTTAAAATACAAATAATTTTAAAAGACAGGGATTTTCTGTGACCAGCAACCCCAAAAGAATTTTGTGTTTGTCTAAGTCTAAAGTTAAGAAGTTGTATTGGCTGCGCTGGGAGGCAGCTCTGCCAGGCACGGTAACTACAACAGCCACTTCCCAGTCTTGTGTGCAATCTATTGCAGACTGAATCAAATTGGAATAATTCAATGCAGTATTTACCCGTGACATAGTGTGAACAAAAATATTAAAAAAAGATTAAAAGATGACTGTGGAAAGCTAGCGTGCTCCTCACATAATTAAAACAAGTTGGTCACAGGCTCTTGCTTGCCTGCTGGCACAGAGGTTCCAGGCAGGTCTGCAGGCTGGGAACAACAGCCCTGCTCTGGGACAGCTCTGCTAGAGCCAGTAAGGGCTACCAGGAGTCACGTGGGGAGAGATTCAGGTCCTGGGCATCTCTCTGCCTTGCCTTCCTTTGCATAATCCCAAGGAAGTTTGCAGTCTCAGCCTGCCTCAGTTTCCCTACATGTTAAACAGATTAACATGCTCTCTCCCAACTGTACAAAATGCTTTTATGTCCATGGATTAATGATCTAAAATTATCTCGCTGCCGTCCTGTTCAGCTCAGCTTTGTTTAATTAAGATTGTGATTATCCGTGAAAATGAATGTAAATTTGGTGTTGGCTAAAGGCTTCTTCCAGGCAACGATAAAAGCATGTCTTTAAAACTATCTATTTTGCTCACAATCTGTTGCAAGTAGTGTACTTAACTCAGTATGGCTTTCAAGTACCTGTTAGCAACACATAAAATCTGTAGCCATGCAGTGGATTCCCTGTAATCCTACTTTATTGTTTCTAAATATCATACACTATTTCTAAGAAACACCATATAATAAATGCAGAATATTTCATTGCAGTGTCTCTGACTGGGGACTTATGTTACACAGTGTCAAATAACCTAATCAATATAGATAAACTCTTCGTTTGATGTCAGAAAAATAGTGGCTGAAAGGAGCTTTAAATAATTGTTTCCCCATAAAACTAATACCTTACTTCCTTTCTCAGTTCCATGCTAAACATCCAGTAGATTCCAACTTAAGCATTTGAAAAAATCCAAAAGGTAGAATTCATAGTTCCCCTAAACTTCAGAATACAAAAAACACATGTCAAAATCTAAATAGAAACCAACAGATGTTGAACATTTTGCCAAAGCACTTTTTATAGCTGTATAAAATCAAAATATATTAAAAAGTAAAGCTCACTCCACAAATATAAACATATATATTATATATATACATATATATATATTTTTTTCCCCATTCTGAGTTACTTTCTCCGCTTCCAAAGTGAAATTTCAGGTTAATCTTTAGTTAAGCTGGCTGATTGCATGCGATAAAGCAGCTGCCTGATGAAGTTCAGCTCGCAACTGAAGTTTCAGCATACCCCCAACCAAGAGGTCCCTGATCATACGCCCAGCATTCCGCAGTGGAGCCCAGGCCTGCTTTTATTACTTCCATCAGTAATCCGTGCTGGCCATCCCCAGTACCACCTGTACATGGCATGCACTATCCCTAGAAACTGCCCTTGCAGACCCAGGCAGACCCACAACATGGCCACACAAACTACATTTTTGTTTACTTACTGATGCAATGAAAGTCAAAGGAAAAATGGCAAATTCAGGCTCATGCTGAAAACATCAGTATTTTCTATTATGGCTGAGAGTATTTTGAACACTGAATATCTGAATCCTTAAACAAGGATTATACTGGGTAAGGATTATACAGCTGCTTCTCAGCAGCCACCTTTCTGTACTCTGTAAGTGACAAAGCCTATTGCATTGGCACACCACTTCTTGCTTTTCCAGAGATGGAAATTCATATGCTGGCAATATCAACAGATATCAGTGATGGAGTTCAAGCGCTTCTTGAAACACAGCTACCACCTCTCTGCCATGAAAGATACTAACTTTCATTCATTCAAAGGTGCTGCAGCGTGCAAGGAAGTGATGGATCTGCAGCAGTCATTTGCTTCTGCTGTTTAATTTCTCTATGCTAATAAGCATTTTCCCCATCTTGTAAGCTGACTCTGAGCTGACTGCATTGAGTAACAAAGAGGCAGTGCCAAGCATTTCCCTTCTAACCATTATCCTGGGACAGCAGCAGTCAACATTTGCACTGGAATTCAGTATTACAGCAAGAATGAAAAAGACCCTGGAACCCAGGGAACAAACTGGCTTAACTGAAGAAACGCCCCCAATCCATACACTGCTTTAAAACAGCTTTTCCCTCTGATCCCCTGCATGCCCAGTCCTCCCATTAAAACTTGTTTTAAAGTCAGCCCAAGTGGGACATAGAAGTTCAGCGGCTCCTACTTTTCCCTTGAAATCCTTAGCAAAGTAGTTCATTTTTCAGAGTCTGGCAGAGCAGAGATGAGAACAAACACAGGGGCAAATTATTTTTAGTGAGGGAAGTAATGAAGATTGGAAAGGTACCTAACTGCACATGTGCAGTTCTGTATTTATGCTCCTTTTTGTAACATCTGAAAGTCATGCCTGGCACACGTATCTTAAAATTAAATGCCACATCACTTCTCCAGAAGAAACCATAATGGTCTTTTGTAAATAACTTTATCTACTGTTCAGCATTTTACTAGTCTTGCTATGTTATACTATAGCATTTATTGTTTTACAAGTGTTAGCGTTCTCTGGTGGGAAATGCTGTAAAAACATAGAAACTTAAATAATTTTTTCATCTACTGAATTTATAACAAACATGGGACTCAACAGACAGTTACTCAAGCTGTAAGCCGTTTGGTTTCTGTCAGGGGAAATGCTGGCTAATCGGGACAGCCTGCTGTTCTACACTGACTAAAATAGGGAAAACGTAGACAAAGTTAAGTCTCTTTTGCTCTATATATGGGATTTTACAGCTAATGCATCTTAGCAGACTGCCCAGCACTCCCCCAAAACCTCCCAGCTGATCTGTTAGGAATCATGTCTCAAAAGAACAAGGCTGACAATCCTGGACAGAAGCATTTCTTAGCTTCAGGGGGTTGCTCCAATGGTGCCCGCAAGCTGTGTTTAGAGAAGGCTATCCTGCTCTGCCCAAAGTGTTGGTGTTTTAAGCTCCAGATCAGCAGAAAACAAAGATCTTTGAAGAGTCAACAAACCTTGGACCAAAATCCAAACAATGCCATTTGTGCAGAATGGGTTTCTTATTGCTTTGAAGTTTCGCTGTGCAAAAGGACAGCGTCACAGAAGACAGACCAAAAATCTCAGAGCCCACCTCTGCCAGAATGCAGCGCAGGTACCTAAAGATGCCATTGTACTTGGAAGTCAATAACCACCAGCAAAACATTTTTATTGATAGAAGCTCTTTTCCCCACTGGATACTGTCATGAATGCAGGTGATAAGCCATCAGCCTCTCTCAGGGACAAGGAATGGAAGAGCAAGGAGCTGGATGGGGGTTGCTCCCAGCCCCAGGTCTTGGTGTGCAAAAACTGGCAGATGGGGCACAGGGACTCAGACTGCGTGCCTGAGCCTCAGCCCTGGGCAAGGATTCATTCTCAGCCTGGTACTTGGAAAAAGTTTCATTTCTAGTCACTGTGCTGCCATGGGAGGCTAACCTCCCCCCCCAGCAGTGCATGTTTGCCAACGTTTCATCAACTTCCTATCTGAAATAGAAACTGCCATTTTGTCACCTCTCCCAGTATTGTTAATTGATTACAAACACTGATGTATCTGCCTGGCTGTGGTACTCATTACTAAGAATTTCAGATCTGCTTTTCAACTGCCTGCTTATGCCTATTTTATTAAATTTAGGGCTGATTTCAGGGTATTATTTGTGAAATCTCATTTTCCAGTTCACTTTTGGATATTCTGTTAATGAAAAACACTCAGCATTCATGGCGTGCACCACAGCGATTATGCTGTACAACATATGACATTTAATTAATGCTCACTGTGCTTAATGCTGAAGTGGCTCCTACCTGAAGGAGAAGCAGCATTCCTACGGCACAGCACTCTTCGTGGGAAAAAGCATCCTCCTCTACTGCAGTGGATTTGTGTGGGCTGAAATGAGAAATGGGCAGCACTTGCAGAGATCGCTTTTCCTTGTGTCAATCATTATTACTTATAAAACCAGCAATTATTAGTAATGTAACAAATATTTAAAAAAAAAATTAAAAAAGCAATTCCATAGTACTTTCCTGGTGGACCTGGGAGGGGTTTTGTCATTCTCCTCATGCCGTGAGCAGGAGCTATGGGTCACTGGTCCTGGAAACATTGAGCAATGCCAGTTTTACTGGCTTTGGATGGAAGCTGGTCTGCAAGGCAGCACTGCAAAATTGCAAGGCTCCATGCCCTACTGATAACCCATTTTTTCTTACTCACTACACAGTAAGTAAGGAAAACACATAGCTGCTCACTAAAGCTTCAGTAGTATCGGTACGATGATTTAGTTATCTGTGGCATTAAAAGTCTTCAATAGTTATGTGTTAAGGTTTATTTCTCTAGATGCATACATGCTCTCTCAGACTTCACCCACTCTCTCTGGATTACTCAGCCATCCTTTTAAACAATCATTTAAAAATAAACAAGCTTTAAGCGTTAATTAAAACAGCGCTTTCTGCAAAGCAGACAGCCATCATGAATGAAACCCATCAGCCACAAGGATTTATTCTTTTCAAACTCCACCTCTCCTTCACAAATAATGGCTTTACATGGAAAGAAAAAAACACGTGGATGACACCTCTCATAGCTCACTGCAGCACGGAGCCTGCTCTCCAGCACACTAAGCCTTTTGCAAGTTTGTGCTAATGAGAAACATGGAGTAATTACCTCCCAAACTATCGGCACCTGTCAGCAACCAAAAAAAAAAAAAACAACAAACCTGAAATCTTCTTGTTCAGCCTGGTTCATCTGTAGTCATGCACCTAAATATAATCTAAAGCAAATTCTGAATTTACCAGGTCATCTCCTGGTAAGAGACAACAATGACATTGGGGGTGCGGAGGTCTCTAGAGAGGTAACACAAGAGTTAATTAAAAGAGAGACTGGGAAAAAAGGATTACAGAGGCCAAGGCCAGGAAGTGATAAGTGGAAGTGTACGGTGTTTAGCTAGTAGCTTTCTTAATGAGTATATTATTAGACAACATTTCAACACAACTTAGTAACAGCTATACATCTGAAACTGTCCTCAAAGCAATTGTTTCAAGTCTAACAAGTACTAATTTAAGAAGGCCAAAATAATCACACATAAAGGTTTTCAGAAATTAATCAAAATTGCATATTTTGCAGCCGTGAAAATTTCTCCTCACTTTGAAACAGAAATACAGTGCAACTATTTGGAAATATTGGTGGCAGACTGTGTTCCTTCAAACAGAAAACAAAAGCAACAACTTGAATAAGGTGGGAAATGCATACAACAAAATCCCAAAGTTAATTATGCTTTCTTTAACACTGGCTTCACAAACTATCTTAGCAATAATCACTAGATTAAGTAAAGCCTTACAAGTGCTAAAACTGGAAGGCAAGGAAATAAAAAAGCAAGGGAAGACAGTTTACATCCTCCAGGCAGAGCTGCATTCTGGCAGATTAAACTGTAGTGAAAACATCCTGTCAATTAATTAGTGCTTTTATTATTTTAACTGACGTTATGCTGCCCAGTGACCTTTTGTTGAACATTACGTACTGAATAAAGCTATAAATACCTCTAGAAGTTCTACTTAACAAGATTAAAGCTGAATAACACAATGTGTAATTGACTCTGCAGGCTGGGGCTCAGCATCTCAAAGTTGCACAAGAGGCAGTTTCCAGTTACACACAGACGTCATCAGCACCTTTGCAGAACAGTCAGCAAATGATACTATCAGCAATATGTAACACAGCCACAGTTTTTGCCCCTAGCAGCAAGTTTTTGTATATGTGAGAAGTGATGCAACTGTAGATGCAATTTCCAGTAGCACAAACTGGATGGGTAAGGAGGGGTTCCTGGTGGCTCATCTGTAAGTTGTTCCCCAATGCTCCTCAAATTGCAAACAAGTAGGAAAAAAAGTTAAGTGAACCTGCTGAGTTACAGTGAACCTGCTGCTTTGCAGTTTGTGAAGTGAAGCCCTGGTGGTCACAATTTTGTTAAAGACCTAAACAAAAGTGAAGCATCTCCGTGAAAACGTGATGGGCAGATTCAGCAGGAGTGGGAGACGCTGGAGGCGCCATCCCAGAAAAGAGCTGCTCTCTGCAGGCAGGAAGGAGACTCTGGGGAAGCTCAAAGCGAGCCATCCTGATAGAGAAAGATGAGTAATAAAGTAAACTGGAGCAACTGGAGGGAGCCAGAGAAGTGGAAACGTAGGATCTGAGGGAGAAAAGGGTCCAAAAACTGAAGGCAAAGGAATTGACACCAAGCCATGTTGTGCAGTGCTTTAAATACAAGAGTCGGCTTAACATCAAGAAAGATACTGCCACAAAACGGGCACCTGAAGAGCCATCTGGAACAACTGATCCCTGCTTCATCGTAAAGTCAGCCTGCAACAGAAGGCTGTCATCTAAGATTTTGTATTTTAAAGTTTCTTCAGTCACAAGCCAAGCTTTCTTATGTTTGTTTAATACATGCACAAAACACACCCAACACCACAACCCTCCAGAAAAATAAAGAAAAAAAAAAAAAGACAGGTTCTGCAGGGGATTTTTCAGAATATGACACTCTCCCTCTGTTAGTGTTGAACTAATTCCCAGTTTGATGCTGGGGAAATTGAGCTGCTGGAAAGACAAACTTTCATATAAATAATACAACCAAAACCTTGACCATTTATTATTCAGAGATTACCTCATGATACTTTAAAAGAAAAAAAGAAGAATTTTAATCCTATGGTCTTGGCCAACTTGCATTCTTCCTCACCAAAAGCTTCAATAAAAGTGATTTCTCATCAGCTGTTGGATGTGTCAGCAGGGGGAGCAGCCAGCGAGGCTGGCAGTGACACTCACCTCCCCACGGCTGCTGGCAATTTGCCCCGGGCTCAGCAGTTTTGTGCCACTGAAGTGAAATGAATCAGCTGCTTTCAAAACAGGATAAACCAGGCCTAAGGCTGCACGGTTACAAGCAACTTCAGCACAGTCACCAGGTGATGAAAGTGCTGATAACAAGCTGAGAATGGAAAAAGAATAGGAAAGGAAAGTTTATCTAGAATCCAAAGAAACCTCTCAATACTGGAGGTTAATTGCTGGCATCCCAGATCTCCCTGAAATAAGCAGTTCAGAAGTAATGCTGGTGCACAGATCAGGAGAGCAGGGACAAAAAACACAAGCCCCATTCTCTCCTGGGATGCTGTGATAAGTCTGGGGAAAAGGTGAAGAAAGAGATAGGGCTGCCTTGAAGAGTGAAAAGTCAAAAGGGGTCAATCCAAAGCACGAGGAAACGTAGCATCAATTCTCTGATCAAGGCTGGCAACAGGTAAAGTGCCAAAACCACCAAAAAGAGCAAGTGAAATATTGTTCATTAAAAATATTAAACTGGTGAATGACACCAAGAAAGCCTTACCTCCTTCTTCCCAAAGACAGTGGTCCATAAAACTACATACAGAACAAAATCTAGGCTGGCAATAAGCAGTGTTTCCTCTCAGCATCCCGTCCTGAGCGCTGCTGAAGATTCCTCTCCTGCTGCTTTGGGGATAACCACGTCCATTGGTGAAGCTCCTTGCTTCCTCCTTACTGCAACTCACAGCCCTGGTGTTGCTGTGGACCACCCCAGTGCCCAAGGTATGGCCCAGTGTCCATTTCTGATGTCTGCACGGAGCCCAAGCTAAGGAGCATTGTACCTTTCCCTCAGAATTTCCCAAGTGCAGAGCATAACCATCTAAGAGGGATTTGGCAAATAAAGACTGGGTTATCCACACTGAAGGTCAGAAACACAAAGAAACTTCAGCAGCTGCAGTAAATTCAGTATCTGTGCCCTACTTTATTCACTGTCTGGGCACAGTTGTTACACAAGCAGACAATCAAGAGCAAACAGACCATTCACAGCTGTGAAGGGTCTCAGTTACTTTCCAGCTCTTCCCAGTGTGCAAATGCTTGCATTACAGAATATTTAATTACAGTGTTTTGGCCAGAACCAGGTTTTTCCTTTCATCCAAGCAAAAAAATAACAGAGTAATTAAAAAAAAAAAAAAAAAGTAATGAAAACTCAGTAAAAAAATTCCTTAAGCCAAAGGTCCACATTCAGTCTGGATTTCAAACAGCATATGTCAAGGAAGACTCCTGCTCGCTATCATTTAGCAGGTTGTTAAAAAGCTTCAAAAATGAAATAAAATTTAATGAGAGTTAAGAGGTTTTTTTTTTCTCCTTTCATCTGAATTTTTACTTATCTTTTCTAATCAGAGCAGATACGAGAGCTCAAACCAAAGAGAACGTAGTAATTTAGAGCATTCCACCCTGTGGCTTATGAAGTGATTTTGTGCACAGAGCTGTGGTGGCTTCAGCAGAACAATTTGCACAGCAAGTATCAGCAGGTGGCAGAATTCAGTCCCAAACATTGATTCCACATCCAGGTAGTTGCTTTGCAGGAAAATCTTTGGAGGAATTGTGACTGATATTTCAGTATGCCAGACTGAGCACATCGAAAGGCAGTGAAGAAAGCCTTCTTTCATAGCCCTGAAAGGTGCTGAAAAGATGATGGTATAATTTAAACCATTATTACAAAATATATCCAGCACTGTGCAGATAATCATGTGAATTTACTTTTGCTGTCAAAAGCTTGTTTTTAAAATAAGCCTTGACTGAGGACAGCACGTAAAATAACATTTTAGAACACTTTTCATAAAATGCAGTAATCAGAGACGTAGTCCTCATGCAAAGTTCTTGAAAACATTCGTTTTGTCCAGTGTTTCCTTCTTTTTGTAGGAATTTATAGCATGTTATATAGGAGAAATACAGTAATAAGGCACACTCTGGGCTTGTAGATCCTCTAATGAGTTGTGTGAGAATAGCATGTTAAGAAAAGCCATACATGTCATACATCTCCCCCTCACTGTAAAACACTGTTTTTACATTTTAGTGCAGCCAAAACAATTTATCTTTTTAATAAAAAAAAAAAAAAAAAGTATCTAATTTAACTAAACTTATTCAGGAAGAACATGTTCTGAGTTCCTGAAATCAGATTGCTACACCAGAGACCTGAAATACCTGAGAGTGGGCAAGCAGAGGTGAGAGCACTGGCTCCCTAACACTGGGGCAGGCCAAGATTTTAAGGGAGCTTAAAATCTGAAGAGCAAAAAGTGGCAGAAGCTAACGAGCTTCGCTGAGCCAAACTAAGTCATTTAAAGTCATTTAGCTCCTCTGTCTGGGGATGTCAAGGCTGCCATGCAATACAGATCGTCAGACGACACAGCTGAAGCGGTCTGGTGCTCTGTACAAACTGATGCACTGAGCTTTTCAACAGGAGAAATTCACTTGTGCTGTCACTTGGGTCCAACCTGAATCTCTGGATGCACGCATTTGTTAGCGCTCCCACAAGGTTTGTTTCCCTGAAGGCAGTGGGACTGGCTGGGATTGGCTCTCATGTCACAGCTTCAAAAATAGATTTAAACGTTACAAAATGCCACCTTTTCCTGGAAGGTAAATACCACGCACCCAGTGAGCCCAGAGGCATGCGCTGTACCCTCAGCATGTGGCCCACAGCCTGTGCCCGCCTCTCCTCCCAGCACCAACCACAGCTGAGCTGCACAGCTGACCTCAGCTTTTGTGTCACCTGCAGTGCAAAAAGAGGGTTCTCAGCAGCTTTGCTCCTGTGCTACGACAGAACTGCTTTCATTTCATGCAGCGAAACCACCTCCTATGTGTGAAACCGCTTTGCCTTATCATGCATCATGCTAAAAGTTTCTCAGCAGTTTAGGACATGGAGCAGAAAAGTGGCATAAAGTAAATATCTAGGATGTATCTAGGACTGTAAGATTTCACTTTTAGCAGCCATCAAATAAAGAATAATTTCAGGTTTTGGCTTTTGAGTCTACTCCTAGAAAATATGAAATCATGCCCATTTTGTTGTGATTCACTTTTTTAAAGTGAAAAATACAATAGGACAGAGTCTGAAAATGGCATTTACTTGGAATCATACATGTATTGCAGTGAGATAGCTGCAATGAACAGCTTTTCCTAGCAGGGCTGGCTCCAGATATTGCACACTTGAAACAAGCTAAATCCCACCATTAAGAGGTTTAGCTCTGCTGTGATTGTCAAAATCTGTCTATCACAACGCCTATTTCTCCTGTACTCAGAATTAACAATGGAAGTACTTTCTGACAGGCTAAATGAGATTTGGGACACTTAACAAGAGTTGGCTCAAAGCTGCTACCTCTAGAAATATAAAATGGCAGTATTGTTGACACTGTATGACAAATTATATGTTCCTTAATACGCTATGTCACTCCATTCAGTTTTATGATTGGCACTGACTATGGCTGAAACCCGATCCAAAGCATACAGAACTAACTGGCGCTTGCTTTGTCCCTCTTAGTATTTTCTAGACTACAGAACTTCATAAATATTTACTCAACAGGGTGGCATACTATTTTTTCCCATGAAATATGTGTGTCCGTATCCATAATTATGTGATTAGTTTTTTTCTGTCAGATGGCTGGCTAGCTGTGCACAGCCAGCTTAGACTGCAAGAGATGGGTAACTACCTTAAGAATTCAAACAAAGAAAAATCTCTCTATAAAGATTACTGTGCCCACTGACTTCTGCCAACTTCATTAAAACTACTGGAGAAGCAGGGGTTATTACTCAGCCTATATTGCTCACAAGAAAGGCTTTCAAGGAATCATTGTTCCAACACTGTCAGCATTAACTCTATTCTATATTCACAACTCTATTCAATACCCTCACGGGCCTCTTCCCATGATTTTGTCCAATTTCTCTTGGAATTATTCCGTTTTCTTGGTCTTTGTAGCATTCTGCATCCTAACAGCGTATACACCTGGGGCTCCTTACTTTTTGCACTGTGTGTATTCCATATTTGCTGGCCCCTTGATTATGATTTTGCAAACCACCCTTAGGTCCATTCTCATGTCACTTTGAGGACTCAGCTTAATCTCTTCCAGCACAGATACACTTCTGTAGCTCCAGCCCCTGCCTCCCTTTCTCCAGTTCTGTGTCAAGCTGCAGAGGGGAAGATGCACTCCAGGAGCTCATGTGCTGCAGGAAGAATGCAAGGACAAGAAGCAAAGTGCCAGAAAAACATAAATTCCCATGGATGTTGCAGAAATCAAAAGTCAGGACCTTCTTGTCCCTCCCTCCAAACAAATCCACATCTGGACACAAATGATTCACTAATCCTATCATAAAAGAGCATCTCAGACCTATGCTGTAGTATAAGCTCCATCTGCATTCACAGTAATGTAATAACTCACAAGTGACTCAGATTTACAACAGATAAGCGGTGATGTAATGCTGGTGTGAGAGAAGAATTATACCCTCGTATGTACATACACATGAGCGAATATATATGTAAATACATATATATCAAAACCATATATATTTCTCAAAGAACACTGTAAACTTCTCAAATAGCCTCTCAATAGCAAAATAAAAGCAAACACCTCACACATTTCTGGAACACTAAAATGCCATTTCCTTCTGAAGAGAAGAAATTCAGACTATAATTGGCTTTATTTCCTCCAGAGCTGGTTAGAGTCGTTGCACAGATTTTCAGAAGCCTTGGAAGCACAGACCTCTTGCTGGCACACCCACTAGAATCTCTGCTCACAGGTTCATGCTTGGATATGAACTTTAGGACCACTTCCAAGGATTTTTAACTGGGCACAAGGATGTGCCAAACAAGTGAATCTTATTACAGACTCAAGCTCCTAGCATGAGAACTATTTGAAACGGGGAAAACCAGCTCTGTTTATGATTTACAAAGAACGGAAACAGTATTCTGGTTTCATTTTGGTTTCAGATATTTTCAGGAATTAGAACTATGCATATACACCTTGCCTCTGAATGATACCGGTCTTGTTAACGGGACTGAGAGCTCTAATACTTGCCAAATGTCATTTTCTGTGTGCTTATTTTCCCAAGTCTTCCTCATGCGATTATTTTACAACTAACAGTTGCTACTACTCTCAAATCTGGCAACGTTTTGGAGCGCAGCGTGCAACCATCACCTGAGAGCCACCAGTAGCACTCAGATTCAATCACGTGGTACTCAGTGCAGGGCAACTCCTCAGACACAAAAGGACACGTGGAAGGTTTCTGAGCTTTGCTGAATGTTCATCTCAATCCTTCAGCCAACCTGGGCCATCACTGTCTTTTTTTCTTTTATCATAACCACTGGGGCTGCTGGGTAACTGGAACAATTAGGGTGATTAATTGCATGTTTGCAGTAAAAACATAATACTGGGAAGGGTTACATTACAGGCTAAATATTTTCAGAAAACTCCATCAGCTGGTAGACATAACAAATGCGATCAGTCCAATGCAACATGAAGCTGTGCATGTTGTGCAAACTGGTTTGCTCTGGAACTCAAATCTCCTTAAAAGAGGCCAAAGTGTTTAAAAAAATAAACTAAGTCAGAGTGCAT